GAACTGGCAAGAACTCATGCGAGTTTATGGATCTAAGTTGTTGATGTCGTCTGACCGCCACGCAGAGACCAACGGTCAGACCGAGCAAATGAACAAGATCCTACAGCAAGTTCTGCGCATGTACATTAGACCCGATCAGATCAATTGGGACGAGATGTTACCGAAGGTAGCTAGTGCGTACAATAACAGTGTGCACCTATCCACCTGTCGCACTCCCAATGAGCTGTACAAGTCCTTGAGACCGCGCAGACCGTTCGAAGGACTGAACCGGGATCAGATTCACAGGCTATCGCCCGGTACCAGGGAGTTCGCGATACAGCACGAGAAAGAGATAACAACTGTTGTTGAGAACCTCAGGAAGGCCCAGCATAGAATGATAGAACAGGCTAACAAGCACCGTCGCCCATCGCAGTTTCAGGTAGGCGACTTAGTCTGGGTCAAGTCTAAAGAGTTTGCACCTGAGGAGATTGTCTCGCAGAAGTTGCTGCCTGCATATAGAGGACCGTGGCCGGTTCTAGAAGTCAAGGGGGGAGAAGATGGACCGTCCTATACTATAGAGATTCCAGCACACCTCCATACATACCCTGTGTGCCATGCTTCAAAGCTGTTGCCGTGTGTCACAAGTCAACAGTTCCCTTCAAGAAGATCCATGATCCCCCCGGATATGGATGGAAGTTATGACATTGACAGCATTGTAGATGAAGATGTCTTTAGAACAGGAGGTAGAGGTCGTCCACAGAAGCAGTATAAGGTCCAGTTTGCTTATCAGGAACCGGAAGACGACCGCTGGTTTACTAGGACAGAACTTCTAGAAACAGCTCCCGACATAGTCAGAGCCTATGAGCGTGATAAGAAGGGTAAAGCTCCTGCCTTGGACTGAAATATTCTCGGAGGACCTCGAATTTAGGATGGCGGGAGTGAAACGGTTTTCACCTTTTGCAGTAGCAGATGCAGATCCCAGGGCTCGATCACTAGACCTCACCCTACCCGTGTACAGTACCCGTGTAGACCCCGAGAGTAGGTCCGTAGGTAGCAGGGGTTCGATCTGTAGATCTGTAGGGTAGAAGTCTTAGCGAGTTCCAGAAGTCTTATTTGTAGTCCTTCTAGAAGGTCAGCAAGTGGGCAAGTGGGCAAGTGGTGAGTCAAGTGGTGGACTAAACTGCAGTGCAATTGCAGTACGACCCCGGTAGGTYGGCAGTAAGTCCCCACTCAGTCACCGGTAAGGTCCAGTCAGTCCCAGTCCGGTCCAGCAAGTACCATGAGGGACTGTGAGCACCATGGGCCGATGGAAGAGGGCAGMCCAACRAGTTTCCGAAGTCTAAATTAAGAGGCAGCGCCCAGCCTTTCATTCATTCCTGCGTGAGCCATGCGGAAGCGCTGCCACAGCGACTTGTGCAAGGAGGTCTGCAGTGAGCCCGGAGCTGAAGTGGGCGAGAGAGGAGCGTAGCATAGCGATAGGGTAAAGGCAGCCATAGCTGCCATAGCTGTAGTTAGTGTGTAGCGAGTGTGTGTGTGTGTGTGAGTTCAGAGAGTTGCGTGTGGGATATCCAGGGTGATCCGGTGTATGTGAACAGTGAGTTGTTTGGGCGCTGAGTCGCCATAGCCAATTGAAAGTGAACTCGTATCTGGATGCCATATCTCCGAGTTTTGAGTGGGCGCATGTCACCAGTTGCTGCGCTACTGTTTACATGCATGAAAAGTGTGAATGAGAACGAGTCTGATTGCAGGTGAAGGCGAAGGGGATGAAGGCGGTGAAGTGGAGGGATACACGGAGAAGTAAGACGGTGATTGTGAGGGTCGTTGGTGGAGGAAAGAGGGGTAGAAGAGGAGGAGAGGGAGAAAGCCACATTGAGGACGAGCGAGGGGGAGAGGTATGTGCAAGGAAAATTAGCGATAGCGAATTCAAGAAAACAAAGGAGGATTATACGTATGAAACAAGATAGTGTTGACCTCGAACTAAAAGCAGAATTGCATCTCGAGTTCCACCAAATGGCCATACGTCCTGGGAAATCTCCAGGAGCCCCTTGTCTTCATTCCAGCAATGTCTCAACATGAGAAATAGTATTATCCAAAGTGGATACAGAGAGTTCATTTGTATTGTCTGTGCATAACATCAACCACTGATCGCGGTCCTAACTTATTCTTTTGTCTTCATGTGCACACAAGTAGCTTAATCGTGCACTCAGACAGAGCATGACGCAGTGTTCTCCAGGAGAGTTTGGCATCTATGCCGACTATGAATGTTGCATTACTTTGAAATTTCAATATATTTGTGACAGTAATATTGGCAACATGTTACATTTAACAGCTACAATTAGCAGCAGCAGTAGCAGTATCAGGACCCGATCACATTGTTTCCAGTGGATCCGTTAAAGTACCACTACCTTTTCCCAGACCGGCCTTGGATCGACCTCCGATCTTTTAGGAGGCCGAAACGAAACGATGGCCGCCGTTGAGATTTATCAACGGCGGCTGTCGTCTAGCCCAGTCCCCGATTTTTTAGTAGGCTATTTTCCGGTTTTCCCAAGAGCAGTAAAGGTAGTGGCGGTGTCCTTCGGGGCATCCATTAAAATTGGAACAAATCAGAGAAGATCAGCATGGCCGCTGTGCATAAAATAATTATAATAAAAAAAAAAGGAAAGGTAGTGGTGGTTTCAGATAACACAGGCTTTATACTAGACATGCACCGAGTGTAGGGCTGCTTGCTTTAGAGGATGGGCTTGCAGGAAATTATTTTGTTCGTGCCATCCACACCAGTCTATGCCCCATTTAGGTGTCCTGATATTTGCCACTGCTCTTCAAGCATATATGTCAAACCTTTGGGTTCTTCATGCTGCATGTCTACGGGGGGTTCAGTATCACCTTGAGCGTGTTACTCAACTGGATGCTTTCCCACTTGTTTGTGGGGCTAATCAACTCAGTATTTTCCGCACTCATGTTTCAGCATGTGGCCGCGAGGCTGCTGTAGTTTTTCAAAAAGAAAGGGAAAAAACCAAATCCTTATGGTCGTATTGCGCGGGGGTAAGGCTGGTCCACTGCTGATATTTTTCAGCATGGTCGTTTTGGTCATCCTTTCCAGGTCTTGTATCTGGTTTTGAAAGCAGTGTTCATCACCTGCTCGACCTGTTCCCAGCTGCAGTGATCTGACTGGCTGGTGAGTAAAATAGGGATTCCTCGGAAGCAGTTGCCTATGACAGACTTCACTTCTGCCTGTAGATTGGCTATGTCTGGGAATTTGCAAAAATCATGACGATGGCATGTTGGTACACCTATGAACTGTTGAAATACAGACCTGAGTTCAAATCCTGCCGAACCTTGCTGAACAGAATGTATAATTCTGAATTACCTAGGACCCGACTAGTCAATGAAGATATCCCAAAGACCGTTGCACTTTTAACTTAAAAAATAAATAAATATTAAATGAATAATAAATGAATAAGTAAATGAAAATTCTGAAAAAGATCTTCAAATATGTGCAGAAGTGGGTGCAAACACATTCAGCATCTTCTGTACTCCGGGTGGTGAGGTGGTAGTTGTGGAGGACAAGGGACGCACCAAGTCATCTCTGCTGAGTCATTTGCAAACCGAGTATTGGGAAGCTTTTTTTCTGCCTCAGAGGTTGACAAGATTCGAAGACTGACCAGCTTACCCAGACCATGTGGCTGATCCTAAAGAAATCTGATCAACACGACAAAGCCAGGGGCTCTACCCCCTTTAAAAAAGGGGAAAGGAAGAAAACAGGCTGTCGACAAGAACATATTTGGTAAGATTGTTACCATGTGCTCGATGAATCGAAATGGGGAGCTGCATCATGGGAATGTTACGGCTAGTCATTCTGAATAACAGTTGGACACCCAGTCTCCCCGCGGCCCCCCCCCCCCTTTTCTTAGAGCGGCTGCTCGCACGGAGTTAGCCAGGGGTTCTTCTTCGGTTTTGTCCTTTCTCACTACCGATAAAAGGAGCTTGACAAGATCAATCTCCTTCATTCGTGTGATATTCCTGGATCAGGGTTTTGCCCATTCTTCAAGGCTCCCCACTGCTGTCTCCCATCGAGTCTGGACTGCGATTCAGTCCCAATCTGGCTTGTATGAGTACGCGACAGCAAGAATAGCAACTGTAATGAGGTCAGAAGCAGAACTATAGGACTCCTTGTCAAGTGATTTAATTGCAGCTCGGATGTGTAGTGTGTACTATTTTTGTAGATTGTTATGAGAGCATGCACATTTGCTTAGGGATGCTGATGTCCTGCTCCATTTCAGACGGAATCTAGCATCTCTGGTCCAGCAAGCAATATGGTGCTCACGATGTCGAGAGTTTAAGTGCTTGGTTCTAACACTGTTGAGACAAGCTGTCTGAGCATTGATTAAGGTTGATATAAACATGATAGGGCAGCACAAGGGCGGCACAAGGGCAGCGCACAACAATGTGTAAGCACTAGTCTGAGCACATAGGCTGCTTGGGGCAGGGAGAAGGGTTGTTTGTTGGATAATGTAGGGAAGAGGGTCCGCCAAACCACTGTACTGGGGATACAAGATTGCCCTCACTATAGGGACCGAAGGAGGGGGGAAGGGCGTGTGGGAGAAGGGGCCGTGTTAAGCTGCTAATTGCTTGTAGAGTGTTGCTGCGGCGTCACAAGAAGCACACCTCCCGAATTGTGTTGCATCGCTGAAGCCATGTTGAGGTGTCCGATGCTTATTGCAGTGATGATCTGGGGGTGTGGGAGAAGGGGCCACGTTAAGCTGTTAATTGCTTGTAGAGTGTTGCTGCTACATAAAGGCCGATNTGTTGTGTGTCTGATGCTTATTGCAGTGATGATCTGGGGGTGTGGGAGAAGGGGCCACGTTAAGCTGTTAATTGCTTGTAGAGTGTTGCTGCTACGTCACAAGAAGCACACCTCCTGAATTGTGTTGCATCGCTGAAGCCATGTTGAAGTGAAAGTGGAGATCGATTCATAAAGGCTGATGTCATGTTGTGTGTCTGATGGATGTTTTTTATTGCAGTGATGATCATGGTGATAGACCTCGGCCCTTGCCACCGGTGCCGGAGTTGAAGAAGGCACAAGACATCAAGGAGAGAAAAGTGAGGCCTGCATGGGATTGGAAGGTAAGTCTGCAGACATGCATTCTAGATCCAGGTTAATGGATCATCATAGATTCTCCCTTTTTTTTATTTTTTAACTTTGAGGACCGCATTGTGCCATGTTTCAGAATAACTGGTATGGAGATGGGATGGTCGCGTTGAACCAAATCGGGTTTTAATGGTTGTCTTTGAGTTGTAATCATAGTGGCCCTGCCAGTGGGCATGCTGAAAAGCTTGATTATGTTTTCTTTCCAGATTTCAGAGGGCCGACACAAGGAGTGGCGGCGGAGGCTCTCGAAGCTGTCTCCAGGGGTTACAAAGAGTTGTGTAGTAGTTGGTGGTGGTTATAAGGACTCGTACTGGTAGGCAAATGGGAAAGGAGGAAAAGGAGGCTCAGTGCACGACAGGGTGGAAGCATTGCAACCAAACTAGCATGGATGATTTCATTTTTGTGGGAGGAGGACGAAGAGGAGGTGGAATCAATAAAAGGTGCGTGAAAGGTGACGGTAGCCAGAAGAGGAGCAAGTTTAGGACGTGCGATTGTGGTTGCAAACAGGGATAGTTGCGGTGATGCTAAAGAGTTTCTTCTGATGTGATTTTTGACCATTCCTTCAGCACATGAAAGCTAAGCTAAGTCCGGTGAAAAAATCATGAAGAAGAAAAGAAAAACATTGGTTTCTTGCTTTTGACAAGTTGAGGTACCCGGGCATCAGGTGCAATAAGAAGGCGGCCAAGTGAAGTGCTGATCGATCTCAGTTCGGACGTAAGTTTCGAGTCCTCTCTCCACGTGACTTTTACCTATTGTTGTGAAAATCTGTCCTGTAGACCTTAAGCATGTGGAGCTTGATCAAGTGGCTGAAGGGGGAGATACTTCTGCTGCAACATTCCACTGCACTACAACCAAGCAATGCTTACGAGCTATGGCTATTGAGTAGTTGCGTCGACATTCATGATGATGCAAGGGTCATCCAAGTCTAGTGCAATGGAATGAGGTGCACATCATGTACTGCAATATAACTTGATCTAACTCGCTCACTCTCGTCATCCCTCCCTCCCTCCCTCCCTCCCTCATGCATGCACGCAGGCACACACTCACTCACTCACTCACTCGCTCGCTCACTCACTCACTCACTCACTCACTCACTCACTCACTCACTCACTCACTCACTCGCTCACTCACTCACTCACTCACTCACTCACTCACTCACCAGTCACTGACACGCACTCGCGCACTCACCCACTCACGCACTCATGCACTCGCGCACTCGCGCACTCACTCAATCAAGCAGGCACACACTCCCCCACCGACTCCCTCACCCATCCATGCTCTCACTCACTCACTCACACACTATCGCACACTCACGCCCTCATCCCTCACTCACACCCTCACTCATGCCGTCACTCCCTCCCGCCCTCATTTCCTCCCTCCCTCCCTCCCTCCCTCCCTCACTCACTCACTCACTCACTCACTCACTCACTCACTCACTCACCACTCACTCACACACGCACTCGCGCACTCACGCACTCACCCACTCACGCAATCAAGCAGGCACACACTTACCCACCGACTCCCTCACTCAGCCATGCTCTCACTCACATACTCACTCACACACACTCACACGCTCACACACTCATGCCCTCATCCCTCACTCACACCCTCACTCATGCCCTCACTCCCTCACGCCCTCATTCCCTCCCTCCCTCCCTCACTCACTCTGTCCCTCCCTCCCTCCCCCACTCCCCCACTCCCCCACTCGCTCACTCGCTCGCTCGCTTACTTGCTCACTCGACCACTCATTTTTCCCTATAACTCACTCGCTCACTCGCGCACACACTCCTTCCCTCATGCGCTCCCTCCCTGGCTCCCATCCTCCCTGTCTCCCTCCCTCCCTCCCTCCCTTGCTCACTACCTCCGTTGCTAGCCCCTCCCTTGCTCCCTCCTTCCTTCCCTCACCCCCTCCCTTGCTCCCTCTCTCCCTCCCTCCCTCCTCCCTTGCTCCCTCCCTCTCTTACTCCTTCCCTCACTCCTTCCCTCATTCCCTCTCTTGCACCTTCGCTCCCTCACTTGCCCTTGCCCTCCCTCCCTCCCTCCCTCATTTGCTCCCTCCCCTCTCCCTTCCCTCCCTCCCTCCCTTACTCCTTCCCTCACTCCCTCTCTTGCACCTTCGCTCTCTCACTTTCTCTTGCCCTCCCTCCCTCCCTCCCTC